GCCTTCTCCAAGGACACAGCCTGAGCAGAGCTGATCCAGGCTGCACCTCCTGAGGGCTGATGTCTCCATTTAGAGAGTTCCCGAAGCTAATGGGCAGTGACAGCTCCATTTGAAAAACACGGAAACACTTAGGGAGGCTGGAATCTGCCCGTCCGTAAGCAGCTTATTAGCAGGGAACTCACGCCCCACCGTCGCGTGCCCCCTTGGTCAACCCCATCCTCCGACTCTGTCACGGAAAGATTGCATTGTTCTCCGGGCCCACGGGGGCTGCCGGGAGGGGAGGCCGCCAGCCGCCAGCCCCAGCCGCTGTTTCTCTGGCTCCCTTGTCGCTGCCTTGCGGGGAGGCCCCAGCTGGCTGCTGCCTTCTGGAGCGGAGGGCGCTGGAGGCTCTGTGAAGCGTGCTCAGCCCTGAGAGAAAGATGCTTTGGAGCTGAGCTCTCCAGCTGCCTGCACCAGAGGCCTCGGGTCCCCCAGACCCAAGACCAGACGAGCACCAGGAGGGCTGCCCGAGAACACCCCCTCTTGTCCAGCTGTCCTCTCACCACTGCCGTCACCTTCTACTCTGCTCCTAGCTTGTTCCCCCTGCTCGTGCCCTTCTCTAACGCCCCATGCACCTGCTTCCTCCTCTAATTGCCCATCCTCTGACTACCACCTTCAGGCTAGCTCCTGCTCCTCTTCAGCCCTCACCCTGCAGAGCCCAGGGCACGCCTGTATCCTGCATTGCCCCTGGAATCAATCAGCAGCTTCTCAAAGATGAGCCAAGTGCTCAGTCCAGTCCCTCCTGCACACACACAATCTCTCTGTCTCTCTCTGTCTCTCTGTTTTCTGTCTCTGTCTCTCTCTCGCTCGCTCACTTCAGGCAGCTCTGGACAGAAGTCCTGGGTCACCTTTCTTCCTCTCGTAACCCATACCTGACTCATTAGCAAAATTTGCCCACCCTAAATTCAGAACAGACCCCGCCCCCCGCCTCCTGATGCATCTCCCCATTCCTCCCGACCTCACTCATCTCCAAGCTGCTGACCTGGGCGCTGAGTGCAGTCGCCCAACTGGCCTCCATGTTCCCAGCCCCTCTGTTTCATGTCCAGCTCGTGAGCATGTCCAAATGTCAGTCAGAGCACGGTGGTCAGCTCCAGAATCCACCTGTAGCTTTGAGTCAGCCAGGATGGGAATCCTCTGCTCGGCCAGTGAGATCCTTGTGATCTGGCTTCTTGCCCGCCCCCTATCTCTCCCCCAACCTCCCTCTCCCCCAGCTCTGTGGGAACTGTTCCAGCTGAGCTTCTGCCCCCAGGGCCTTTGCACATGCAACTCCTGTTGCTTGGATGTGTTTCTTCTGACACCCCACAGCTCCTTCCCTTCCCTGGAGAGTCCCAAGGTCCATTCCACGCACAGCACCCTCTCGCCCCTCATCCTGCTTTGGCTTTATCTTTCCTAGGGTCGTTTCTCTCCCCCAGCATTATGCTCTATCTTTTCACGTCCAGTCACTTGCTCTGTGCCTCCAGCCGCCTCTCTTCCACATCCCAGGGACCGGGTGCCACCTGCTACCCACAGGGCTGACACGATGTCAGAACTCAGTGCACACCACCTAATGAGAAAACAAGCTAACGGGAAGAATCTGCACGGTAATCCTGGCCAGGAGCTTCCATTCCGTCCTGCTTTGGGTGTTTCTCCCCCCCCCCCCCCCCCCCCCCGCAGTGGCCGGCAGAGCTGCTGTTCGCTGCCAAGTCATGATCCTGTGGCTGGAAGTAACTGATTTTCAGAGACCTGAGGCCAACAGAGCCAAACAGTTGCCACCATTAGCTTGGGGTGTTTCTTCATCCTTTGGCTTGTTGCCTTTTCTTTCCCTCTCCTTCTCCTCTTTCCTTTCTCTTCCTCCCTTTTCCTATCCCATCCTTCCCTTCCCTTCTCTCCCCTTCCCTTCCCTGCCTTCTCTTCCCTCCCCTTCCCTTCCTTTCACTTCCTTTCCTCGCCTCTCCCTTCCCTGCCCCTCCCCTCCTTTTCTTTCCTTTTGTTCTTTTCCTTTCCTCCCCTTTCCTCTCCTTCCCTTCCCTTCCCTCCCCTCCCCTCCCGTCCCCTCCCCTCCCCTCCCCTCCCCTCCCCTCTCCTCCCCTCCCCTCCCCTCCCCTCCCCTCTCCTCCCCTCCCCTCCCCTCCCCTTCCCTTCCTCCCAAGCAGTGCTCATAGAGCCTGGGAGTTCCGGTGATTCTTGACCAAAGGGGCCATAGACCCAAAGCAGGGCCCAAGGGTGCTCAGGCTCCGAAACTCCAAGGACATCCAGGCGCCCCCACCCCCACTCCCGTGGTGCTGGGGACAGTGTGGTGCCGGTGTCAACCTGGGCTGCGTGCAGACCGACTGTTGTGCTGTCATATATCACACCCTTTACATTCCTTGGGAGATAAAAACAAGCCTGTGTGAATGCAGTTTTGTCGTTTTCAGCATTGAGAACTTGAGCGCTGTGAGCAGGCCTGGTTCGTGGGGAGGCTGCTGGCGGAGATTTGGGGAACGGAGAGCCGCAGGGGGCTGCCACTCTACTGTGTAGTCACGTTGCTTGGCATCAGGCTGCAGCCATCACAGGCCTTAGCCCCTTTCTCCTCCTCACGATCCTCAGGGGAGCTGTGCGGATCACCCCCGGTTCAGGAGGGAGCTGGTCCTCGGGGTTACACCGAGGGAAGACGGGCCCACATTTGAGCCCGTCGGCAGAGCATGCACGGTGCCCTTCTTGCGTGGAACCACTCGCCCAGCCCATGGCCTCTTTCGAAGACAGAAGCCCGGGGCTGTTCCTCTCTGGGGCTAATCCCCAGCACCCGTGCCTGGTCCTCATTCCCCAGGGCTGCAGAGCTAGAAAAAGGGCCCAGTCGTGCATTTCTGGCTTTCGGCTTCCCTTCTCTCGTCCAGCCAGAAACTCTTCCAGTGGCAACTCCAAGACCCGTTATCAGAGATGCTCCTCCTGGCCCCTTTCCGCTGGGCCAGCATCTCCTCCTGGGTTGCCTCTGGCTCTCTTCTGGCTCTTCTCCCACCACTCGAGAACAGCCTCTGGGGCAGCTTTCTCAGTGAGCAGGGGGAGTCACTGCCCCTGTGTGTTAGACAGGAAATAGATATAAAATACTTAGCGTGTGTCAAACGCCTAGAAAGGGATCGTGGGTTTGGGCTACTGTGGTTATCCTGTCCACCCTTCTGTATTTTCTTCCTTATATTTGCTTTTCAAGACAGCCCTCATGAGCTCCAGAACCCATGCTTAGTGTGTGTGTGGTGCGGGGGTTGGGAGGGTGGGGTTGGGGGACTCCCAAGAAATGCTCAGGGTGCCTGGGCCCCCTCCCGGTGGTGTTCAGCCAACTCGGCGAGTGGTTCCACGCAAGAAGGGCACCATGCATGCTCTGCACTGACAGGGATTAACTGGGCCACCCCAGTACTACTCAGAGGATTGTGTGGTGCTGGAGATCAAAGCAGGGTTGGCCACATACAAGACACCTGGTGCTGTGTCCCCAGAACCCATGCCTCTAACTCCCTCAGCTCCTTCCTCTTCTGGAACCTCAAAGAAATTGTCATCACTGGGCTGGAGCAATAGTACAGTGGGTAGGGTGTTTGCTTTACACGCGGCCAACCCAGGTTCGATTCCCGGCATCCCATGGGGTCCCCCAAGCACCACCAGGAGTGATTCCTGAGTGCAGAGCCAGGAGTAGCCCCTGTGCATTGCGGGGTGAGACCCAAAAAGCCAAAAAAAACCATAAGAAAAGAAAAAGAAATGGTCATCATTCTGAATTCTCCCTCCGTCATTGTCTCTCTGATGGAGAGAGCCACATTCTCTGACCCTTCTCCATCATACCCCCAGCCTAGCCACCGTTCTTGAAAACGGCTCCTGAACTTGGATATCATGCCAGACAGACACTCGGTGGGCCGTCAAGCCTGTGGCATCTCCTGGCACCCTCATCTGTGCCATCAGGATGCTGGAACTCACTTTGTGAGCTCACTGGGAGTTTTAAATATGGTCCTGTAGCTAAAGGGACTTCAGGGTGCCAGGCAGGAAGCAAATTGCGTGAAGATGAGCTACCTTGGGTATCGAGGGTTGCAGCTGTTCCTGTGTTTGTAGGCTGGGGTTTTCTCCTGCCAAGGCTATCTTTGAGATACTGTGGGGTGTGGTACAGATGGGTTGACTGGTGAAGAACGAAGAACACCCCATTAATGATGCTTCTCTCGGGACGGGAACTAGCATGCACTGGTATGTGTGCGTATGCATGCATGTGGCACACACCTGCCCCGTCATCTCAGACCCGCCGACCTTTTCAATCTAAAAGGCTGGCAGGATGAGTGAGAAATGGCACTGGTTTTCCCCGTCAAGGCTGACCGCCTGCCCACACTCGACTGTCATCCCACCGGGAGAAAGGAGGGCCGAGTGCCCAGGCGACCTTCTGAGGGGAAGGTCAGTGATATACCTGGCTACCCAGGGCCAGGCAAGCGGTTGCCGGGACCTTGCAGGTACCAGTCCCGGGTTCTCAGTGGACTGGACTTTGTCAACCCCTGTCTTCAATTGAGCTGCAAAACATCAATCGTTCCTGATTGAGAGCCAGACGGCGGCACTCTGAGGCACGATACTGGCGTTGCCCAGGTGAAGTATATCCAGAACATTATAGTGTGTCTTGTGACACATAGAGCATTTCCGGTATCATCTCTTCCAACAGACAAGCATTAGGCCAGCTCCTGGGGGCCAGGGGACCACGCACTGCCACCATCTCATGCCTTTGCCATCTAACTCCCAGCCCGCCCAGAGAGACTGCAGGGGGTGGGGGGTTGGGGGGGGCAGCTCTGGCTGAGTCCAAGGTCATGTGCCCAAGGTCATGAGAATTTTGCATTTTCTGTTGCTCTCATTTCTGATCACGGACACGGCCTCTCTGTGTGAGGGGACGGGAAGGGGTTGGAGGAGACCACGCCCAGTTTTGTTTGGTTGTTTTGGTTTTCGGTTGGTTTCGTTTTCCACCCACCACCAGTTCTTTTCTTCCCCTCTCATAGTGTGGGCGAAATGCTGAAAACTTCGACCGGTTTTTCACCCGCCATCCACCCGTCCTAACACCTCCCGACCAGGAAGTCATCAGGAATATTGACCAATCAGAATTCGAAGGATTTTCCTTTGTTAACTCTGAATTTTTAAAACCTGAAGTCAAGAGCTAAGTAGCTGTGTAGACTCCGTCCTTCATTCTGTCATTCGAGCGCAACGGCTACCGTGGTGACATTTTTTTTTATTGCAAACTTGCATCCATGTTTTCTTTGCTGATGAGACTAAAGTGACCATGTTTCAGAACCCAAATGCCCTCAGGTAGTTTGGGGTCTCTCAAGGAGATGGACTTCTGCAGATGGCCGTGTGGAAAATGCTGCTGCATAATTAACACATTATCTGAGCCTTCTTCCAATTTACTTTCCCCAGCATGTCAGCTGAATAGGTCCAGTGGGGACAGAAAAAAATAAAAATAAAACGCCTGCTTGCTTTTTCTTCTTTCTTTTCCCCTCTCCTGCTCCATCATTTTCACGTATTCTTTCTAATTCTAACCCTCCAAGGTAGATGCTTCCTACCCCAGATTGCTTGCAGGATTCTTCCCGCTCTAGACCTTAGCTTTGCCTGTTCTCAACCGAGTATGTGGTTGCTTTGACTTGGAGGGAATTCCTCCCTCCTGCCTAGTTTGGAGGAGACCCCCCCACCCCCAGAGCTTTGTCTGCAAAGAACATGCAAAACAAACTAAAAAAAGTAAAATTGGATTTGTTATTCTTTTCAACTCAGAGTTATGGAGATGATGGAATAAAACCCCTTTAGAGATGCCAGGAGTCAAGGACAGTGAGCTAGGATAGTGGGGGAAGGCTCTGACCTCCGCAGCTGACCAGGGTTCCAGCCCCGGCACCTCATAGGGTCCCCCAAGTTTCTTTGGGAACCATCTCTGAACACAGAGTCAGGAGTAAGCTCTGAGCACCAACTGGCTTTGGCCCCCAAGCAAAAGCCAAAGCAAAACAAAAGCCAGGAGTGCTTTTCCCAAGTTTCCAGCAATGGAAAAACTCATCACAAACTCAAAAGGCAGCCAGCTTAGGTGTGCCTCCATGCTACCAATTTCTGAAACTCTCTGTCCCGGGGTCCCTTCACCCCAAACTCCCGAGGAAGGCATTTGGTGGCTTTCTGAAAAGACATGGTCACTCTAGTGAGGCCCCCAAGGGCTGTGGTTTTACATTACATTTCAAACTTTATTTGCTTTGGGGTTTTATTTCTGTTGTTCAAATGCTAAAGAAAAAAAGATAAGAATAACTCTCTCTGTTACACGTGCTTTGCAATCCGTATCCGAGTGTTATTAACCACTAGGACCTTCTTGGATTCCCAGAGAAGCCCGTGGCTCCGGAGCCTGGCAGCTCCCCCGTCTCCCAGGCGGATGGGCTGCCGTCTGGCTTGGTTGCTGGCTTTGCAAAGCTAATGAAGTGCTCTGAGAAAGACACCGTGTCCTGAAGTACGGGCTGCTGTATTCTTCACTCTGATGTTGTTTTGCCAGATGTTCATGGAAATGTTCATTTGTACTTGCATCTCTGTTATGTGCCATTTTTCTTCTAGCATCGAGACACAATAAACAAAAAGAAAACAAAAGAACAAGGAAAGAAACCAAGAAGAAATGCCATTTCAGTGGGGGGAGGCTCTTTTTGAAAAATGTGGACCCAACCTACAAATAGGGTCTCCTGAGCTTTGGGGCAGAAAGGAAATGAACCCGGAGCTTAGTCTTGGCCTCACTGTCCCAGCCAGGCAGTGAGGCAGGAGCTTTGGGCCATTCAGGGCCTCCTTCTGGCCCACAGTGGTGTTTCTGGAGCCCACACAAAGCGTGGAATAGTGCAAGGGCTCCAAGCCCACATCCCCACAGTGTCAAGATGAGGGCCTGCTAGAAGCACTCCTGGCCCCTATGGTCTTCCTTATCCAAACTACTGTACCAGTCTTCTACTATCTAGCGAGTAGCTTCCTGATCCCCCAACAGCCTGAGGAAGCCCCCTGGGTGAGAGGGGAACCCCATATCTCTTTGAATGGAGAATAACAGGGCACTCCCCCTGACCTCCCACTGCCTCCCCTGCTTTTCAGACTATCTCAGGAGCATCCTTACCCCACAGCGAGTGACTCCTGCAAGGCAGCAGCAAGACTCTCTCCAGCCCACCCAGGGGATTCTGAATGCCCAGCGGTGGTCCACTAGAGCAAGATGCCTGAGATTCAAGCCTCGTTCCTTCCTGCCCTCTAGCTTCTCCATGCTGTGGGCTCAGAAAGCACCCCACTTCTGCTTTGGGGTAGCAAGCAGACTTGGGAACACCTGGCTGGGTGCCTGAGCTGATAGGTTGAGGAGTTGAGGGAAGGAAAGCGCCTGGGCCCAGACCCCCTTGCTTTCTTCTTGGGGAAGGCTGTGACTTGCCCAAGGTCAGCTGTGTGGCGTGCACTCTCTGAGTGTGGATCTCACTGCTCTTTCCCTGGCGTCTCTGATGCCAAAAGAACCAGACCCACTCATCAGCCAGCAGGCATTCGGGGCCCTTCTCCTGGCTGGTGGGTCACTAAGCCTTCCTTTGAAGGCACTTTCAAGAAGATCCGAAACCACGGGCCATTGACAGATTGAGACTCCGTAAGAGAACTATGTAAGATAGAGATAGATAGATGATAGAATGTATATATTCTGCTCTCTATGATTCCCAGATAACTACCATTATTTTTTCAAAAGTTTCGTTTGCAGAAATAGGCACTCCAGCCAGAGTTTCTATTCCCCTAACTCATCTTGCTAAGGCTTGGCCCCGAGACCTTTGGCAGAGCTTAGGGATGGAGAGGGCTCTTACTGTTTTCTTTTCAATCAACATTTCAAGTGCAACGAGACCAGAAGGCAGACCTGTCAACATCTCTAGTGCCCATGGGCTACTTGGCACTTGTGTCCTAGAAGAACAGTATTTTGATGATGATCCCATTCTTTATTCATTCACTCACCCAACACTTATGGGACTTCAGCTGTCTGCCAGCCCTGTGGTGGGTCCAGGACAGCAGTGCGGGGGCAGGGGGTGGGGTGTGTGCAGACAGAGACAATGCAGGAGGCAGCTGAGTGAGTCTGGGAAAGCTGCTTCCAGGAAGGAGAAAGCTATTGCAAAGCTTTGGCACTCTCTCTGCTTCTCTGCAGACCTTAGGTTGAGGCCAAAAGAGAAGGTGCCATGGAGATCCAGATTTCTAGGGTGGATGGGGAAGAAGAGCGAGACAAGGGGGTAGCTGGACTTCCATCCGGAAGGACAAAGATAGTCTCAGTGCTTGAACAGATACATCGAATCTGGAGATTTAATAGAGAAGGATATTTGCTTCGGGAGAGGGAACTGGTTTTACAACTTAGTTTTGAGCTTCACCTCTTGAGGTGCATCACTCAGATTCCCATAGGCCAGACCCCACCCCCTGGCCTTCCAGATCACATCCCCCAACTAGACGCTGTCTGGCTCTTGGACCCCTAGTCAGACTTAGACTGTCTTCCCAAAACCACTTAAAAAATGTTAGGGGTTGGAGCGTAGCACAGTGGGTAGGACATTTGCCTTGCATGCGGCCGACCCAGGTTTGATTGCCAGCATCCCATACGGTTCCTCGAGCACTGTCATGAGTAATTCCTAAGTGCAGAGCCAGGAATAACCCCTGTGCATTGCCAGGTATGACTCAAAAAGAAAAAAAATTGAAAGTAAACAAGAAAATCCAAAGAAACATCAATAGTCCACATTAGCTCTCGCTAATTGTCTACGAGAACCAAGAATCTTTTTTCCCAGTTTAGACTTCTCACTCACCCACTTCTCTCCTATGAAACAGTGGCCCAGGACTCAGGTTGACCTCCAAAGCCAGCAAGAGGATGATGGTGAAAAAACCGTTGGATTTGGTACCCTCTTCTCATGTGGTTTCAGATGTAGAAAGGAATTGCTCCAACAAGGAGACCCATTCTCTCCTACCTCCATGGGGAAAATTGGTATTTCCTCTGGGAGATGTGCCCTCAGGATAAAGCCCCCAGTGGCCAGCCCTGATTGGCTATGTGACTGGTTGAAGCCCGAGTTGGTCAACATCAGCACTCCAAATGGGGTGAAGACTCTCAAAACTGAGTGTTTGGCGGCCTTTGCTGGACATCCAGAGGCAGAGAAGGCACATGGGATCAGTATTATCAGGGGATATCTGGAAGGGGTCACCCATTGGCCTTACACCTTGATCCCCAAACATAGCCCTACCACTATCAAATTGTGAAGGGTCCCTCCATGGTTCAGCCCATCATGTGCTCAAATGGACAGTGGGAACTACCCACATCAGAGAGAATGCTGGGAGCTAACGGTACCAGGTGACATTGTTTGGCTGTAGCTTGTGGTCTCTGCCTTGAGAGCATCTCTGAGTTGGAAAAAGCAAAAAGGTGTCTCCTTCTTGAGTCTTTGTTCCCTTTCATTCAGTAGACACTTAGGATCCTCTGCAGTGTGCTGAGCTCGGTTCTCGGTCCTGGAAATGCAATGCCAGCACCGCAGACAAGGACCTGTCTGTCATCATCAGTGACAGACATTTCTCAGAACACTGGCAGCTCCTGGCACCATGAGAATTGTGAGACGGAGGCTAAGGGGCAGCGTGCAGGGTCTTAGAAGGGCTGCAGAGGCAGTGTTAGTGGGGGAGGGGTGTCTCTTGGGACGCCGGAAGGGATACATTCCATATCTGGAAATGCACAGGCTAGACTGACAGAGGGCAGGAGAAGCCCGAGCAGAGCAAGTGGGGGCCTGGCAGAGGTGACTCCACCCAGCAAACAGTTCAAGCAGCATTGTCGCCTGTTCCTCTCCAAGGGAAGGCCACCTTCCTGAAGTGCTCTACATTCCTTGCACACATCCCATATGACTAAATGGGGAACCCCCTCAGACAGCCTGCCACTCTCCAGGGAACAAGCAATCAGAGGGGATGACTATACAAGACCTTTTGGCATCAGAGGATGAGCTCCCGGTGAGAAATCCTTGTCTGTCCATGTCCACTGGGGCCAGAGGCAGCCAATGGGCCAGTCTTCACAGACCCACTCTCTTTCCAACCCCATATGCAGAGTCTGCCAGGCAACCTGTGCATTTCAGCAAAGACCAAGCATTACCCTTAGTTGTCCTATGACAGACCAGCCATCATCCTCCCAACCCCCATTCCCCATCGGGGGCAGTGGGGAAGAGGGGGGAGATAAAGCACTATCATGATTAATAATGGTCAGATAAAAAAAATTGCTGACCCACTGTGCTATCTTGGGCAAGTCACTTTCCCTTACTGCACCTCAGTTTCCTCCTATGCCTGATCACGTGGGGACAGAGAAGGACCCTGGCTTTTCCTTCCCTCCTCAGGATGGGGGTGATGAGGACAGGAAGAGGACATAGGCTGACAAGGACCCCAAAGAGGCATGAACCTCGTATAAATGCACAGGGATCTTACTCCTTGTCCCCATATTCAGGGCACCTGGGAACCCCAAGCTATAGTTCATAAGGTGCGGTGAATGCCTGAGCCCCTCAAAAAAAGAAATTCAGAATAGCTATGAAACTAGAATTTCTTTAATATTGGCATATTTTGAGCTGTGGGTTTCACTTCTTCTAGTTCATTGATTACCTACATGCCCTGAATGTTCTTGCAGAGGCCCTGGCTGATGAAGACCCAAACTCCATCGCAGGGGTGGGTTTCTGGGTATGCCTTTTGAGCCCTAGAGGCAACAGGCCACCTGGGGTGGACAGTGATCTGCCAATTCCTTTAAGCAGTGCTCTGACT